GACTGAAGAGGATTGAACGCAGAGATGAATATCTCTAAGAACACTTGTGGTGGAATTTTTCCTAGTAATTTCCTGCAACTCTTCCTGGCTGCCATGCAATGATTGTTGGGTTTTAGCTTTGCCATTTCCACTCGAGACCGCACGAGCGAAAGTACCACGAGATTGCCCGTGGAAACATGGGGGAAAAGTTAATGAAATTCCACCCGCAATGGATATTGGGTGCAGCGTGAAAAGAGCCTCAAGTTATGAATGCAATTGTTAAGTCCTCGCCGGTGCAATTCAATTTGCATCACATCAATATTTCATCTCTCTGGCTCGGGCTATTGGAGGAATTTTGCCGTGAATTTGCTGACAACAATGATTTAATCACGACGGTCGAATTTGGATTGCGCTCCGAATGGTTTAATTATTGAGGCTTCTGCTGTTCTCGCTTAAAAATTAAATTATAGATTTTTCTCTGTTTGCTGAACATATAAATATTGTGATAAATGGAAATTGCGGTTTATCTTGCCACGGATAAAAAGCACTATAATCGGAACGTGAGCTTTGCTTAGAAGCTTTTAGATTGTTCTCGGAAGAACACTGAGCTGTGAAAAATCTCCTCGCAATTGAGTATTGAGCCACTCTGCAGTTAGTTAAAGTTTGCCAGGGGGATGCTTTAATGCCACAGAGAATGCACAGCGTCATTTGATCATTCATCATGCAAGGGGTGGAATTCTTGCGTCACGAGCTTCAGGTGAGTTATTTTTCCACCTTTCTTCTGAATGTGTGACAAATGTGGCGTGTTACGGGATTTGTTGCGAAGACACATCAAATGTTGCGGGGCCCCTGCACTCCTCGAGAGCCCCGGAGGCCCATCAGCTGAACAACATCATTACCATTTAGCTGTTGTCTCTGAAGGCTCTCTCTCTCACTCTCTCTCCCACTGCGAAATGCCTGAGAGCGAACGAAAAGCTCTTCGCTGTGGGAGAATTCAATTTTTCATATTCACCAAGTGCGAGAGTGAGAGTGGGAGTCTTGACGAGTGTCTGAGACACTGAGGACAAACCCGGGAGTCCTTCGAGCAGCACACACTCACGGAGGACACGATGATGGGCGCCCAGGGAGTCACAAGAGCAACTTTGCGCCACCCTCGCGCGCCCTGAATTAAATCAGATGAGATCTTGCAAATGTCAAATGTTGTACAGCATAAGCCCTTGTGCTCGTAATTTATATGTCGCGCGACATTCCAAGTTCAGATCCACTCAATTTCCCAAGAATTCTCATTTTATCCAGCCTCCACCAGAGATGGAAAGCCAACAGAACAGAGCTGAGATTAGCTAAATTACACATTGCTGGAATTGGATCTGATCTAAGTGTCATTTAGTGAGTTGTAGACTTGAAGAATACTTTCAAGAAATTGTGCTCCTTTCGCAAATCGGATGAGAACTTTGCAAGATATGCGCAGATATGTGAGAAAATTAAGGAAAACCACAATAAATCCGATTCAATTTAGCACTTTCTCAATCGTGATTGCAATGCGGGGTAATGAAGATGTTGAAATAAGTTTGGCTGAATAAATTTCACCGTGTAAAATGGAGAATTTAATAAACAGAAATAAGCACATTTTCGGGACATGTGTGACATTCAACTCTTTTAGGACAAGTCAACTTGCAAAATATTTATCTTTACGGATCTGTGCAAATGCAAACAGCTGCATTGGCATGTTTTTGCCTTCGGAATCCTCGTTTGCTCTGTCACTTGGTATGAATGCAATAACTCCAACTTCCTCCGCGTGTGACTATAGAGAGTGGCAAATATGTATAATTAATGCTTTTGGAGGTAAAAAAAACAGAGAGCAGGTCAAATAGACAGTGAAAAAGTTTGGCAAATACAATTAAAGCATTTAGTATAGATAGAATTTATAACACAAATATTGCCGCTGGTTTTAAAAAGTGAGCGCAAATATGAAATATACACATTCTGCGATGTGCCTTGCTTTAAAAACTATTGGACCTTTTTTGTGCGCTCCACAGCAAATTGGAGCAGTGTCGCAGGGGCATCGGAATGGAATAATGTGGGTCAGAGACAAGTATTCGGTCGTAGTTGAGAATTGTGTGCCCAATTCGTGATTGCGTAATTATTCCCAGCGACTGGTCCGCACGGGATTCTTGCGCCCCAGTCGAGTCTCATGATCATAAACTTTGGCGCCCACCCGCTGGAGTGCCTTCGCATAGGGACACCCAGTGTCGTCCCTTTTGTCATTCGGCGAAGGATTCACGGGTGAGTTTGTTAAAATCACACACAAGAGCGGAGAAAATGTCAAGGAGACGATCAAAAAGACGAATTGTCGAGCAGTCGCGGGTTTGAGGCATGTCGCGACGTCATTATAAATTTTGAAATTGTTATTGAAGGCCTCGGGAAGGTGACACAGAGTGGGTGGGAAGAGCCACCCCTCGCTGAACCCTCAATTTGATCTTTGGCGCTGCTTTTGCTCTCCATTACTCAATGGTTAATGATGGAATAAATATTTTTTCTGCCCATTAATTTCAACCCAATGTTTGCTCATTGAGTGGACTTTCAGTCTGCTCGAAATTTAACTGTGATTTCATACAAAATACACAAATTCAGCTCAAAAAGAGCTCAAGATAGGAAAATTCCATGTGAAGAATGTTCATGTCATTCCAGAAAGCGGACAAAGAAATGATATGTATAAAGATATTTTGAGGGATAAAAAGCTGCAGGGCTGGAAAGTGAGCGACATATTACAGAAAGTTTCTCATTTGACAGATTTTACAGAGGAATACTGAAAGATAGTCTGTCTTCGGGACTAAAAATAGACGTCAAGAGAGGAGATTTTCCCTTAAATTTAATCACAATGCACATCAAATCCATTCTGACGCAGTGTCACAAAACTTTATTCTCATTATAGTTGAGAATTGTGGGTGAATTGGAAATTCTCCCCGCTGAAATTTCCCGAGAAAGTGAAACTCAGTGGAAGGATGGCCAATAAAAATATGGGGTGAATTGTGATGAAAACAGAAAGTGTATTGAACAAAGAAAACACCTTTGCAATATTGGCTCAGCAGAAAAGTGTGTTTTCTGTTTGCTGGCATTTTCTTATCTCTGCCCAAGCATGGAAAAGTGCGCGCATTGCAAACAAGAAATTTGCGAGAAAATTCAGTTTATGCCATAAAATTTGACGAAAACGTGCCATAAAGCCTAAATCGCGCAAACTGTTTCAGGTAGAGATTATTTTCATTGTATTTTAATCTGATTATTGTGGAAATATTTACCTTGGGCTAGCGGAAAAACTGACTGCCGTGCAATTTTCACGGGGGTTGGAAATCAATTTTGCCGTGTTGTGTGAGAATGACCACTTTTTGGTTGGAAGGAAACGCAATTTTTGCCAAAGCTTTTCCTCTTGTGACTTGCTCAGGCAATTCACGTCGGGGTCAGCCAATTTATCTTCCTTAACACACAGCTGGGCTTCCCCGGCATTTTGGGCAACACGGACAATTCCCAGTGTGTTTGCCTCCTTGTGGACTCCATCAATTCCACCTCAAAAGCTTCCCACCCACTGGGCTTTTCAGGTGTGCCTTTCCGCCAGGGGGTGAGAGTGCCCCCAAATTGTCCGATGGACACAGATTCGCAGCATCTCGTCGGCCTTTTATGATGCTGCCTCCACACGACGGGCGCGCATTTACGAACTGACGTCCGTGCCATAAAATCATACCGAATGCTCCCGTTTCGCCCATAAAATATCACAGCCATAATCAAGAAAATTGACTGGGAGACACATTAAATCCCATATCGACGAATTTTAATGAGTGCACACACTTTCATCTTCCGCCACAGCAAAGTGATTAATTTCTGTGCTCGCCATCCTTGGCGCGCACTGCTTGTCTCAGCAATATCAGCACCTCCTCTCGATTCGAGAGCACACATGTGAGCTCCATAGTTATTTCGTCGATGAATTTACAATAGCCCTAGTGAAACGTGTGACCTCCACCTCAGCCATTGTCATTAAGCAGCCTCTCCAGCCGGAAAACTGGCGAAAGCTGCACAGATTTATCCTCATCGATCGAGGGCAGGGCGAAAGTGGGAAAATTTCAGTGTTTATTGGCTAATTTAGGCACTTACCCAGAGCTCTCACTATTATGGATATTTATAGGTAGTTTTAGAGACATTTAGGGGATGAAAAAACATCGGAAAAGCACTTGGAAGGGCGCTTTAGTGATTGATCACAATACAAGTTTTATTATTTTGTTCTTATGTGCTGTTTTTGATTCAGAATTATGTTCTCTGGCGTGTTTTCCCCACAGAAATCAATCTTTAATATACTGAGACTTAAATGACAGTATAAAACCACTAAAAGTGGGCTTTATCTTCATCAAAATACCCATGAATTTAAAGCTGATCTTATCAAATAGGAAAGATGGGCAGAAAAGGCGGTTCAGCAATGTTCGTGATCTCCAGTTGATTTTGATTATTAAGATTTTTCAGGTCATGTCTGTGTGTCATAATTCAGTCTTGCCCTCAACTGGAATATGGATCTGTATCTCCCCTTTTACGACCGTTCCCAACCCCCCCAGAGGAAGCATCACAATAAGCCTTCGGACGCTGGGTTTGAGGGCGGATGGCCAACAATGGGACGAGGGGCGAAATTACAAATGAAACACAAACATATAACACTATTCTTCCAACCCCTCGCGACTCACAATGGAGCTTCATTTTTCCCCCCCATTTTATTTATGTATTTTTTCCAAGCATTCCCAAATAGGCGGATTGTGTGAGTGGGTACAAAAGGTGTGCGTATCTCCGCATTTCCTGCGTCCAAAAAATCACAATAATGAGGTATATCTCTGTGTACACTCATCCCCAATCATCCCCAACCTCCCGGCGGCCGATGATTATCTCCCACCCACATACGCACACACTGTGGGCCATCCGTGGGAAAGTTTGTAAGTCACGCAATGGCGAGAGGATCGAATTTTTGTCAATGCTGTTCGGGGCCTTACCTCTCTTCAATTCCGACCACGTTTTGACGCCGTTTTGTATTCCTCAGCCACGGCGAAAATATTATGCGAATCGTTGCCAGCACACACCCTCACACGGGGCGGTCGATGGGGATGCTCCAGCTGGGGTGATTTAGTGATCCACCCACCGCAAACACCTTCACATACAATAAGCCTATCTAAAGAACGAGGTCTTCACAACTCCATCACATCACCGGGATCACTTCATCTTCCACCCACTTATTATCTAATCACTTCCATCGAGGGCCATCGAGAGGGTTTGATCATCGCCGAAGACGTGGGTGGACGCTGTCAATGGATATGAGGGTCCCTCGTGAATTCATATGAGACACCCTCGCAGATGAGAGCCACTCTCGGATACTCTGACTCTGGATGGACTCTCCACTCGGCCAGTTAGCGAACCACCATTGCTCTCGACCAGTGACACCGAACTGAGTCTTCTGGTCCTCCGCAACCCGTACATATACTCTCGCGGGCTCAGATGAGTCGCGAGAGCGCGAGAGCCTCCACAAAAAGAGAGGGGAGAGCGCTCTCGCAGAGGGGAAAATGCAGGGGAAGCTATAACATTAAGCTAACCGAACAGAAGATCAAAAGTGCGTTAACCCTCGCACGACTGTTCATTATTATTATTATTATTGTCATCAGTTTGTCATTTCAATGCTAATCGATGATTGCAGAAACAGAGGAAATTGAACGTAAAGGATCTACTATACTTATATTTGGATGCGACGTTGAAGGAAATATTGACATTTGAGTGATTCCTTGAAGATTGTGGTCTCAATACACATCATTCGGCATCATAAAACTTTGAATAAATTGTATTAAATTGTTATTTTATTTTCCTCTTTGAAATTAGGTACATTTGTAGAATTTTGTTAACTTACAAAACTGTCTCTTCTTCTTGCTCGTGTTTCTCTCTCAAGAACACGTGAAGAGAGTGGAGAATGTTCTCTGCAAAATCCCCACTTTTCCTCCCATCCTGACTTTCTCTCTCTCTCAGGAAATTGAAGGGGAAATTGCCTCCCTTTCTTGTCCAGAGAGCGCAATTTTGAAATGTGCTGCTAACACAGTTCCCGAGAAGTTAAGCAAACAACAAGAACCGTAAAATTGAGAGTAAAATTGAGGCAATATTCATTTAGCGGTGTGGCAGAGAGAGAGTGCACTTCCCCTCTCCCTGCGGACTGTCTGGTGGGATGGGGTGGGTGGCGAAAGCTCCTTTCCACACGCGGAAAAATTACTTAATCCACCAGAAAGCGAAATGTTTATGAATTCCCGCGAGACACACACCAAAGGGAATTCAATTTACATTTTTCCCCAAACCACCAAACTCCCCTGTTCGCGGGTGAAAAAGCTCCCAAAGCTCCACGTCTGGCTCATGTGGTCTGGCTGCGGTTCTTCTTGCGCTCGCAAGCAACATGCAGAAGCACCCAGAATTGTCCCTCGTTTCCATTTTAATTAACATGGTCAGGTGCGGCGAAAGGAGGTGAAGATATGAAAATCATCATCTCTCTTTGTTGCTTCATTATATTTGCATTCTGTGGCGTGGCCGAATAATTGAAATAATCTGTTTCATTCAGTGAGAAGCCCATAAAGCTCCGCCGACCATTCACACCTGAGATGGACGTGAAATTTAATAAAACTCCTCTTATGGGTCATTTCTCTCCTCGCGCAATTCCGCCTTTTATATGCTTTTGGGGTAATGAAAAGTCCTGCGAAAAATCTTCACGCTTCTCTCAATTCAATGGCGCAAAATGGAATGCATATTTTGGCTATTTAATTCGCCGAGTCAAAGGCATAATTGGACTTTTTGGACTCCGGGAAAAATCCCCTCGGTAAATGGCGGGGAAAAAAAATACCCAGCGAAATGGTTAATTAAAATGCTGCTCCGCAGTTGAAAAGCACCTCTTCGGCACAAACAATTTCAATGCGTCCGCCCTTTTGTGTATTATTAATCGCATATTTGGCGTGGCTAAAGCTATTTAAATAATTCATTATTGTCTGATGAACACGTAAGCACACGTAAAAATTAATATGAAAATGTATGGAAAGCTCGGGAGATCAGAAAAATTAAAATTACATATTCCACCCGCGAGCATGAGAAACACTGTGTGCAATATTTTGCTTCAATTAAGCACAAATTGATACATTTTTTTCCGCTGGAATAGCATTGATTTGCATATTACAGGAAATTTGTCAGTAAGCGCGACAATAATAATTGGATTCCGGCTATGTTTATATATCAATATATTACAAAAAGCCGAGCTTTTAAAGCCACAATATTTAAAAACACCAACTGTATTCAATTTCATTGTTATATTTGTTATATTTGCTACACTGCTGAGGCCATGATGTGTGGTTTAGTGCGAGAGACACACACAAAGGACAAATAATTGACAATTTAGAGTGAAATTTTGTCGCAAAAGCTCCCTTCGTAGGACATTTTCCGGTATTTTGTTGCGGTGCCTGTAATTAGTTGGTCCAAAGTCTTATCCATTAATTTAGAGATAATTGTTGGGAGAAGTTTTAATTGATCAATCCCTGAGAGAGAGGCGTCAAACTTTTCTACACCACTCTTGAGGAGGTGATTCTTAATTAGAAATTTTTGGCCAGTGACGAGAAGACGCCGAAATTTTGCAGTGTGAATCTCTTCGAAAACTTTACACTCGCCACGTCTGAATTCATTTGCAAATTCCCATTCTCACACCGCCAAAACTCGAGTGGGTGGTGTAATCGCTGAGCTTTTTTCCACCCAGACGCCTTCTTTTCGGGGCGGAAGCCAGCAATAAAACGGAAATGCTACGGAGCACCTTGATAGGAAATTTATAGTTTGGTCCTTCTTTTCCCAGAAATACGATGGTTGTCTTGCACTGGAGTAGTTTCGGTTTCTGCCCGTGCTTAGGCTTCAAAGTTTCATAATATTTAAGGGGTTTTTATTGAGATGATTTTCTCATATATTTCATTACATTCGAGGTTTCCTCTACTGACAAATGTCTCTTCCAATATCATGGGAAAATATGTACTTTCTTCGCAAAAGCACAATTTGTGCTTCAGCACAGAGTTCTTAACTCTGCACGTTTTTTTCCGTTGTGATCATGTCACGCGCATTTAACACAAAGGGCTGCTTCTGCATGCATTTTTAATGTGGTTGGATGGCTGGCAGTGAAAGCATTGGATGAAGTACACAATCTTTTTCATTTTTCCCCCGCGTGAAACTTCCATGAAATTCCTCTTTGTCGTACGCCTAGTGAAATTAAGAAATGGGTGTGGAAATTCCTTTCCTGCCGGAGGTGTGTTTTCCATGTTTTGCTATTCCTCACTGGAGTTTTGGTGAAAAATCTGCTCGCTTCTGGGGCGGCAGAGAAATTTGGGTATTCACGGAATTGGGTCAGTCGTGACAAACTAGACACAGAGGCACTTTTAACACTTTCAAACTCACCTCTCGTATGGCAGATGAAATATTTACACGATCACTCGAATGAATGTTTCCCTACCACCGCAGAAACCACAATGTAAGTGGGGAAAATGAGAAGAATCGTCCGTGTGCGCTCTCGAGGGTCCGAACAAAAAAGCCATGAGCAAATTGAATTATGAACTCCCATAAAAGTTTTATATAGGTGTCCAAGTGTGCCGTAAAAAACCAATAAGTGGAATTAAGTTGGGAGAAAATTTTCTCCAAATGAACTCCATCACCCGAGAGGATTTTGGCTTCCAACGAGTTCCCAATTCAAATGTGGGCGGAGAAAAGTTTCCCGGGGTGCATCTCTCCAAGAGTTGATTGAACATGGATGAATGTACGCTTTTCTTCAACTGCATCCGATCGATTCAATTTAGAGGGTGAATATTGCCACATGAAGAATCCCGTAAGACACTGGCCTCATTTCTCTCCTCCACGATCTTTGCAATTTCACCCAGAGAAGCTTTGTGTATATAATCAAGTGGGGCAAAAAGCTCCACTCCAATCATTCTGGCTCACAGTGCGGAAAAAAGCGAAACTGCGAGGAAGAGTAAATTGCTATTCCCGAAGAGATATGTTCGATCTAATGAAAGAAACTTGCTTTTTCTTCATTATCCCAAAATGGGGTCAACTTCATTATTCAGTTCGCAGGCACAGAGTCGCATGTGTAGTTTGAATTGGAAAAGTACTCATGCTTTTAGGTGAATTTTCTCTGCGACATCCGTCTCCTCCCCCCCGCCCTTTTTTTGTGCCCGGAAAAACGCCAAAGACCATCAACCACAGTGTCGCACACACACGATCTCGAAATTCAATAGAGAATGATTTTATTGGGACAAGCTTCGTTGCGTCACGGACAAATTCGTTCGGACGATAAAATTCAATTGCGATTCCAAGAAGGAAAGACACACCCAAGGATATAGAAATTGATACAAATTTGCAGCGATTTTCCACATAATTCTCCATGTCTTCCACCACACGAATGTCCGCACAGATGCTGTGTGCTATATATATTTAATCCTGGACCACTGAACATGGTCAGGACTTGTGTGTCACGCCCCGGGAAAGTGTCCTGGAGACTCAATTTGAAATATTAAAAGAGAGAGAGAGGCAAGAATCCCCGGGAAGACAGATGGGTGGAAAAAGTGAGTTTCGCTGTACATAAAAGGGATGGAACAATTGTCTCCTTACCGCATTACCGTAAAAATAAATTGAAATTCTGAGTGGAGCGGAGGAAAATCCGTGGAGGAATGCCTCTGCAAACAAGCACATGTGAGAGGAGAAAAGTCGAGAAAATTGCGCTATGGCACTTTTAGTGGGAATGAAGCAACAATCCTCGAGATCCAGCCAGCATCCCTGTGAAATTGTGGTTTTATGAAAATGAGGAGACGCCGCATCGAACAACAAACAGCGCACATGTGAATTTTCCTGGGGTTTTTGCGTGTGTGTGTGGAAATGAGCGAGCGGAAACCTTTGTGAGATGCTAAATCCAATGCAGATGCCATGACATGGTGACGAAGATACAACCAGAAATCCTGCACACAG